TTGAAGTATTCTTTGATTTTTGCTTATTGGTTTGAGAAAAAAAAAGTGTAAAGGACAGATAGTCCTCACTTAAAGGTATGCAAGAGAAGATTCTCTTGGAGGGAACGGGACAATCAAATGCCACAATAGTGGACTTTGGAGTTTCTAGAACCAAAGTATGTGCGAACTTGTATTTCTAGATCTGACTGACTGACTCCAAAATGAGATAATGCGAGATCAGTCTTGAATTCCCTCAGGGCGGGAACGTACAAATATAAAGGAAAGAAATAAAAGAAACATAAAATATAAATAAAGAAATAAATGGTGTACCTGACTCCAAAGAGAGATAATGCAAGATCAGTCTTGAATTCCCTAAGGAGCCAATTTGGATTGAACAAATTTGATAATATATAGAGAATAGTGTAAGGTCTAAGTCTAAGGTCTAAGTAGTTGTGGTTGTAATTAATATTCTTGTAATGATGTGTGATGTGTAAGCATCATTACAACTGACTTGTCTTGATGTATCACCAAAGAAGTTCAATGGGATTGAGTTCACAGTGAAATTTAGGTAAGAATTTACAGATGTGACCCGCATCCTCAATAAGCTTCCGAAGCAAGGGCTTCTCATCAGCAAAGTCTGATTCAGTTGACAAGACCTTGTGAGCACAACATCCTGGAGCATCAATGTCTGGTAAAGCACCCCTAGGATGTGATTGATCTTCCTTGAGAGGAACCTTTGCGTGTTTAAGTAGGCGTTCAGCCCAAGCAATTCAATCTTTTGCTTGTCCAGTCTTTTTGCACTTGGTACACATGAAAGTCATCTCCTTTTCACCCCTTAAAGCTCGTATGCTGTTGTAATGATCCCATAGTCCACGCTCAATGAGGACTTGCCTTATCCCTTTTGACTTGCCAGCAAGAGCTTCTTTCTCAATCAATTTCCCACCTTTCAACTTTTTTGGTGGAGTCGGATCAACATAATAAGATGGAAACTTCATTTCTTGAACCTTTCCATGAAGCTTGACTGGAATGTTAGGATTGTCAGAAGGAATTTGGGTGTTTTGGAGCTTTGGCTTTGAACCACCCAGCTTGAAATTCATTTTTGATAGCTGAAGCGCGTCCAGGGCAAATGAATCATGCACGGCTGAGCAATCAAAGGTGAAACAGGCTTGGGCCTTTGGGTGATTGTGGTTGAAAATTGGAATTGCTCAAGTTGCAATTTGGTTGATGAGTTGATTTCAGTCCCACCACCCTTCCCCCAAGCACCTGGGTAAATTGTGATGGCAGCATTGTTAAAAGGTAGGATAGAGTCTGTGTTGGCTGGCGGGATGAGTCGGCTGGTTGAGAGGCAGATAAAGTCCAAAATGTGAATTAATTTTCCAATACTTTTTGTTAGGAGTGCGCAGTCCTTATCAGTCATCCAACCATATTGAGGTTGGTCATTTGTGTGAATTGTTGATTCGTCATGATAGACCTGAATGATTTTGCAAGCGCCATCTTCAAGCTCTGCAAATACTATCTGATCCATCATTTCTCCTTCAAAACAACTTTCATGCCTACATATCTCAATGATTTCCTTGATATACTTCTCTTGATGAATCACAACATCAGCACATTCATGTTTTTTAAATTACAAACACCGCTTATACTCTTGGACGTGCCATCCCATCCGGTGCATCTATTTGGTGACAGTCGTGATCAAGGTTGGATTTGGATGTTGCCTATAGTTTACCAGAACCTCAGTGTTCACATAGTGAGCTAGTAGAGCTGGTGAAACCGGAAGAAAGGAAAGAGTAACACACAATCGAGTCAGGCAAGGATTCAATAGTGAGATTATCAAAAATTGATTAAAAAGAGTACTTTTCCAACTGGCTGATCAACAATCCACTCAGTGATTGTCTTATGCACTTCCACACTATCTAATATTGAAGGATGAGGAGAATTCAATCCTTGGCAATTGATTGGAAGATGTTGGTGAAGGATGATGTGAGATGCATCAGAACGGATTCTGACCGCAAGACGTGCTCCACTTCCATCTGTTGGGGGATCCTCTTGGCAAAGTCAATAGGGAGCCACAGTGTTGAAAGATGCTTGCATGGTGCAAGAATTTGGGTTTGTGAGGTTAAGGTTACGTTGAAGATTGTTGAATTCATGTATGAGTCCAAGTCAATCAAAATCTTTGACATAAGTGGTTCTTGAAGTTGAGTGTGCTTTGCTAAAAACCGAAGCATCCGCTAGGGCATTGCTAAGCTCTTTGTGTTGGTTTTCAATAGGTCTGATTTGAAATTGGGTTTTGATGTGAAGCGAAGTGAACACTTGATCCACTGACTCTGAATGAGATTGTTTATCAGAATCATATGGGTTGGACACCAAGCTCAAATCAGAATCAGAAAGTGAGGTGAGGCTTGAATCAGAATAATGCACCATATTTGTTTTGTGATTGGAGATAGATGAAAGGCTTGAATTGGAATCCCAGAGAAATGATCGAGTTGAACCACTATCAGACATCAAATCCCCATTGCAAGGTAGATTTAGCCAGGGCTTAGGTGGGTCAAATTTCACTTGCTTGCTAGGACAATCTGATGATGCATGTTGACAAATAGTCCGACTTGTGTGGGGTTTGTTTAGGCATAATGGACACATAGAGCTTCTGAATATGGTGAATTGTGCAAGACTGACTTCAAAGTGAGTGATGAAGAAGTGACAAAAAATATTACAGCAGTTTCAAGAATAAATGTTGTCTGCATGTTTTTATTTTTTTATTTTTTTTAAGGTTACACTAAAACTGACTTGCCTAGATTCTACATAAGAGCTGTAGTCAACTTATTCAAGGGTGCAAGGATTGTGCAAGATCACAATCTTGCTTATCTTTCAGCATTGGTGCTTCCTTTGTACCCGAAATGCACCCTTTGGTATAGTTGCAAGCAGCGGAAAGGTGGACAACAATGTTGTATGTAGAATCTAGGTCAATAAAGTTTAATGCAACCAACCTTGAAAAATAAAAAATAAAAACAAGCAGGCAACATTTATTCTCAAAACTGCTGTACACAAGTTTTCTGTAAATAGCAATACACAAACATCTCAACCCGACCTCAAAAACCCATCCAAAGAACTCATGGCAACCCAATTGATTTTGAGTTTTTAGCGTTAAAAAATCCAAAAGTCGATTGGGTTGCCATGGGTTTTATTGGGTCAGGTTGAGATGTTTGTGTACCGCTGTCCGGCACAACTCTTTACGCGTCTCGGCGCTAGCAACCATACATAGTAAGCGACCACAAAACAGGTTTATGAAGTGACAGGAGAAGAATTTTGAACTCAGTGTTTTCTTCAAAAAAAAGCTAAAAAGATTGATGTTCAATCCCTTTAGGGTTAGGTTATCTCCATTCTACGGTTTGGGCTCATAGATATCCAAGACATCTTTTCCAAAAGTCCCCGGACTATAAACCAATACCCATTACGTACAGAAGAATGTTCAATCCCCTGAGGGTTCAATAACCTCCAAGTACCGCCCTGGAAACATAGGTTATCAAGACATTCCTTTGAACCAGTTGCAGTGGACTCTAAAACACCAGCAGTATGTTATTGATTGTGTTCAATCCCTCTAAGGGTTTGACAACCTCCAATTACCGTCTTGGACCAAAGGTGTTCGAGACACATTTCAAAGGGCACACCTCATTCTTCGTGGATGGTATGTGAGTATTATCAGAGTGGAATATGTGGAAAGCGAGGAAATCAGCAAAGGTTGTTGTTGAGCACTCCCAAAAGAGGTGCACAAAAATTGGCAGTGGGACTTCTCCCCCAACGGGGGACCCGCGCCAACCCAGTCCAGATTTTTCATTTCCTCTAGCAAGCAATTTGTAACTTTCAATTTCATTCCTCCAAGTTGCTTGTTCTTACCATTCCTACTTCCAATATACAAAAAGTACATTATACACTTAAAAAGCTTCAAAGTACAGCCTTATCAATATTCTTCGTAATCCAGTGTACTTTTCAACACTAGCTATTCACATTAGTTATATTGTTTCAATCATTGTTTTTTCCCGCCCACCACCCTCTAGGCAGACTGGGGTTAAGTTTCAGGCTATTTTTGTTATCAATTTCTCTTATACATGAGTAGGGGGGTCCCTCAGTGAGGGACTCAGCGCTGAGCTATTGGCCACCCACAAGTACTCTCTGTGTTCTAAAAAAGTCCAACTTTGTCTTATGCAAACCAGGCCCCAGGGCCACATTTCTGAGTAACACACAACAACCCGCGCCACCGAGCCAAACTGATTCCAGCTCTAAACAAATCCTTGGACAAGATTCCTAAAGGAAAACACAAGAAGTTTTGAGACTAATGACTCTTCCAATACCTACTATAATTATAGGGGTTTCTGGAGGGGGTCCATCGCTTTCCTACGGGTGGGCTAAAAGCCTAAAGGTGGTTTTTTAAAAAAAAAGCTTAAAAACTTTTAGGAACACAGAGTTTAAAATTTCTTTATCCTTGACACCTAATTTCCTGTATTCGACTAGATGGCCGCTTTGCTCAGGTGTACTAGTTTCTTCTGTATTACATGTTCTGTTAGTGTTGTATGCAATAGGGGTTCTCAAAGTTGACCCGGTTTCAAGAAAACCCAGTTGACCCGGTTGCTTTTTGGCAGTAACCTTGTGTATTGATTGCCACTTCACACCAAAGGTACGATGTGGGGAGAACTTCCATAGAAGGTAGCGGGTAAGGGGAGACTAGGTGTGCACATCCAGAATTACATACGCGGTGGTAGCCGCGGGAGTTGGGATACAGAAGGAAGAAAAGGAGAAAATTCCCCCCCCTTCTTTACCACTCCAAGAATTCTCACCTAGTCTCCTGGAAAGACAAGCTTTCATAGTTAGTTGAAGCTTAATCTCCAAAGCTTAACCTTCCTTTATTTTTTTTCGCATAACATATTCATTTCCTCCATCTCAACCTCATCATCTTCAAATTATAAATAATCTAAATCATCTTTGAATTATATATAAAAAAAAGCCAGTAACTTAATAAAAGAAGAATGGATAGCTCAGACTTTCAGAAGAAGATAGATGAACAAATTAGGAATGAAGTAAAAGAAGGAGAAGGCAATGGCGAGCAGGATGAAAAACCAGGAGGAGGAAGTAAGAATCATGGAGGAGAAGGTGAGTTAACAGGTGATGATCAAAACAGTGAAACCCAAGGAGAAGGTCAGATGGAAAATCAAGAGGAAGAGGTACAGAAAGGAGGCAAGCAGAAAGCAAAAACACCGGCAACCCAACAATCAAAAAGGAAGAACGGTCAACCTCCCGAAAACTCGCAAACCGTGGGACCAGTAAGAATCAAGAAGCCAAAAAACCAACCTAATCAGAAAGAACACTCGACTTCTGATGTCAACCACACGCAAGACCAACTAGGATTGTCGATGCCCAACTCGGGGCTGTCCCAAAATCCTCCCAATCCAAGAAACACTCAACAAACCCCCGCCAACGTTCAGCAAACCTCCGCTCAGTTATACACCGCCGCAGAAAATTGACCCTACCACCTACGCCAACCAACCAACCAAGAGAAGAGTGCCGGTGCAAACGACGAGAGCGATGGGGAGTCCGATGAAGGATTGGAGGTAGAGGGAAGACGGGTGCTAGGCGGTATTGTACTAGAAGATGGATTGAGTTATGGTAAGCCAAAATCTCATAACGAAATAAAATATATTCTCCCGTTCAGGGAATGCCTCATAAGAGAAGACAATGAAACAACTACCCAGGGAATATGGAATATATCCACATGGAATAAAGATCCAACAGAAAGATCCAATGTCCCAATGGAAATATCCAAACAAATAGACATACAATTGAATCCAAGAAGGGAAATCCAAATCCGCATATACTGTCATATCCACATTTAAAAGAAAAAAAAAGAGAGAGGAAAGATCAGACACTGGAAAAAAAGGGAAATCGCCTTTCTGGAAAACAGATATGATGAACTCAAGAAGAGAGCAAACGGAGCAACCTCAACCGATTGTCGAAGATGTGGTAGTCCAAAAACTAGACATCGAAATTGAAGCCGCTTCACAAAGCAGGAACAGAACGTTGTACAACAAATTGTCGGAAGATAAGAGGAGATGGCTGGAATTCACTAGTAAGAGTCAAGGCGAGGTCGAGGGCGGAACGGCGGAGAAAGGTCCGAAAGATGTTAGCGCGCGAAAGAAAGTCAACGTGGTGAAGGGGAACGAATTGATAAATGATTTGATAGGTTATCACCTTATTGGGCAAACGCCATGAAAGATCTATCACGTTATATCTCCCTTTCTATCTTTGACCCCTCATGGCTTCGCCAAGACCTGAATCTCACTTCCAATAAATCTTCTCGGTCAAAAACCAAAGACGCAGAGGCGATCACCTACAACAGATCGCCAATCCCAAGCGAGTGGAGGACGACAGTAGCGCAGTGGCATTGAAAAAAGGATTTGTTCCTTGCCTATCTGAAGTTTTACAAACATGACAAAGTAGTCCCAACCATGGAACGACATTTTGAGAACGTGCTAGAAATTCAGAAGGAGAATGATGGTTGTTGGATTTTGGCTTTCAGATATGACATAGAGATGAGACAAGCGTATCTTACGTTTAGGGTTGGCAAAGAAGAAGAGATGGCTGATATCGGAGTTCGGAACAAAGTGATCAAGAAACGAGCCGAACGGCAGACCATAATGAAGAAGGACGATCTGTTTCTGGACAACCCGTATGCATATGGAAACTCCAAGCAGAATATCAATCCTATGGATGGAACCAACTGGGAAGGGAGAGCCACCAATTGGGATGATCCGAGTAGGGGTGAGTCCACAAAGGAAAAGGTGGAGGTTAGCAAGAATTCACAATCAGTACGATCGGCCTTGTGGGCCCAAGCAAGAAGCGAACCTCATTCGACTTTGCACACGGCAACCCCCTTGGTAAACCAACCACCAACGACATACCATCAACCATCTCCCTATAACCATCTCTCATCCTCTTATCATTCGACCCCAACCAACCATCACACCGCCCACGCTCACCCTCCGACTCAACCGGCAAACCACGGATCCGGGATTAACCCGAATTTCAAAGGTAATCCAAAGAATTATATTCATAACTACCGACCAAACTTTTGAAGCGGAAGAGGTAGTAACGGGAATGAAGGCGGATCAGGAGGTGGTTCAGGTAACGGAGGAAATTTTGGTGGATCATCAGGCGGAAATTTTGGTGGATGGGGACGTGGGAAACAAGCAGATGAGAATGGAGGTCAGAATGGACAGACCTACGGGAATAGAAATGGAGTTGGAAGAGGTGCAGCGCATAAGAAGTGAGTATCTTACATGGTACAGTCCAAAAATGATCTCAGATCCAAACCAGATATTTCTTCCCTCCCCTTTTCGCTGTTTTTATTTTCGTATTTTTCTCTTGTACATGGTACAGGTAGAATTGAAAAAAGAGAGATCTATAAACTAGACAGTACCAAAATGAAAATAAAAGTTTAGACAGAAACAGACTGCACAATGTCCCCATGACTTGAGGAATGAGATTATGACTGGCCAATTGGGCGGCGGGCGCCGCCATGTCAAGCTCTGAACATAATTTGGCCCTTAACTCTTTTCAATGCTTTCTGAGCTACACAGTAAAACAAAGAATTCCAACATCTAGGGTTTTACATTCCCAAGAGCAGCAGCACACTATTGAGCATGATCATGTTCACTTCTTTCATATGCAACATACCATTGGACAGTGACTTCATTTGATTTGAGGCCTTTAATCCACTTAGGATTGGGAGCTCATTCTTTATTATGAAGATTTCTGAGACAACACCTCTGACACCAGACAATTCACACAATGCATCAAAGCAAATCATCTTCATCTAAGTTTGGGTTCTGGATGATTGGATTGGATTCGGTATGTCAGTGGTTTCAAATGTTGAATCTTTTTGCAAGGTCTAACTTTGAGATTTGATCACATGCACAGAGGCCAATTCTCCAGATGTGAAACATCTTGCATCATTTTCTTCTTTTTTGTTGATCATTATCAGAACTATCAAGAGACCTAAAAATTAGAACCCAAATCCCAAGTGGAATGACCACATTTTGGATGTTCAAGATAGATTTCAATATGGCAATTTTTGTTATCATGATCATCTCCTCCATCAACCACACATTAATCATCACATTGAATTACATCAAAAGATGAATCTGTTCATGATGTGTATGATCAAAATACACCGGCGGGCCGTCCAG